AGGGTCTTGCTGAAATGGTTTTCTGCTAAGTCAAAGTAAATTTTCCAAGTAATAACTAATAATTCCCATTAAATGTTATTGTGTTGTTTCTTAGTTATATTCTCTACAGCATTGGATGAGTTGCTATGTTGTGTTTGAGGGGCGATCTTGAAATTTCGTAATTCATCCCCATAACCTAAATGTGATGGCTCTCTCTACTCTGCAACCCTTTCTGTATGCCCTACCTTGACCCGTAGCTGAAGAAGCTTTGGATAATTTATATATGCAAATTTTTGTACATTTTTTTTCTTACGTTCACAAATGTATTTAATTGTGTAGAAGTTGGAATTAACTCTTTTTACTTCTATTAATCCTCAGGCCTAAAGTGTAGCGAAACATTCTCCGGGTGGGATTACTTATACTGTTTTCCCAAATGATCAATACTGAAAGCAATGGCAACGGGATCTTTCTTAGTGGTGCTGGCAGTCCTGCCGTGGATAAGCAACCATCTAGTACACTGAAAAAGATGGTATTAAGAGACGTGCAGAACGAAAATGTAGGATCAATACATAAGAATCAAGAGAGTTTGCTCTTTGGAGGAGGAAAACCCAGTGGTGATGCAATTAAGGCCCGTGGGACGAAACGACTTACACCTGAGCGCCTTTCGAATTCCTCCTTGGCCTTCAATGGTACAAATGATAATATTATGAACACCCATAGAAGATTAGAATTAGAACTAGGCAGAGGACGATTCCTAAACAATGAAGGCAAATATTCTGGTTGTCCTAAGTCAACGAATTTGTGTCCATTGCCACCGCCACTGGAAATCTCTAAAAAGCAAACACTTATGAGGGAGAGTAACATTCGTCGTGCTCCTGTAGCTACATCTAATCATATGACTCCAGTGATGGTTTTTTCAAGTGTTGGACCTTCAGTTCCCAGCTCTCTTGGAAAGCACGGAAATAACACCCAAGCTCCTGGATCTGACTGCCTCAGTGTCTCCTCAGAGCTGCCTCATGTAGTTGATTCTAAGGACAACAGTGATCAGCTAAGAACAGAACGATTTATTCGCCTGCAGAATTTTTTGAGGCAATGTGATGAAGCTAATCAAATGGATCGCATTCAGAGTGAGTGTCTTTGGTTTTCTATGATTTTGTTTAACCATATTTCTGTATAAAGTCTGACAGTTTTTGATTTGCTGTTTGCTTGATGTGGTTTTCATCAGTGCTTTTGCATCTATCTCCTCTTGAGCTTAGTAAACATGCTGTTGAGTTGGAGAAGAGAGCAATTCAATTGACAATAGATGAAGGTAAAGACAATGTGAATTTTCTGGCAGTTTCTCTTTTTCCTTGCCTTCACCAGCTAACAAGTGTACTTCGCCTAGCATGTGATTGTCTAAATTGTTTGAAAGTTATGTATGGCGTAATGAAACGGGGACACAAATTGAACTGAAGAATGATTTGTTTTGTTTACTTGAAATTTGAGTTATATGGTTTTAACTTTGAAGTTCTCCATATTTAGTTCACTCTGCAAGCAAAGGACACTTCTGTTTTAATTGTGACAATTATTTAAATTTCAACATTAAAAGAAATTCTTTAGATTTTTTGGTATATGATTGCTAGAAATGAGGGACTTTGAGTTGTACCCAGAATAGAACTGGCAATTGCCTTTATGGTTTCATCAATGAATGAGGATAAGCGAGGGAAAAGAAAATACGATGATTAAGTTCATGGAAATTGCTTGGTATTATTGTTTTCGCATCTCAAACTATTATGACATTTGCTTTTGTGTTTGTTAAGGACTTTTATTGAATAAACATTGTATTTTAGGATCTATGCACATGTACATATATGTTCAGACAACATTACCATAGAGATAAAGGTGTATGTTGGCAAGTATGTAGTTTCTCTATTCTCAGTGTATGGGTCTACCTCTTTCGGATTCACAGGACAACTTTGGTTTTCCTGCCATTTTGTCACTTCATTTTCTCAATGCTTGTGGGGTGCAAATATTTAGGATGTATAATAACCAAAGCAGGAACATAGAGAATAAGAATTTAGTACAAATTCATGATATGATTATGAGTAAGTTTAAATCAGACCAATAAAGGATTGGTGACTAATAGTTCCCCACTGGTACGATAGGTATTTGCTATGATCTTCTTCTCTCATTTGTCTCGAAGGCAGTCATTTTCACTAATCAATATAAAGCGTGTTTCTACATCCAATTTGATGCCTTCCTTATTATCCTCTTTCTTGGTTGGTTCCATATGTTTTCTCATAGTTTCAGCACGCATTTGAATGACGTCACCATATCAATTCATATAACAAGATGGTAAATACCTGTGATTCTTAATATTCTCTTGTCATTGCAGGAAAAGAGATGCAGCGGTTGAAGGCATTGAATGTTTTGGCAAAATCTTGCCCAACAAAAGTTCCATCGCAATCAAATCATTCACTACATTCCAACAAGGATAAGTCATGAAGTATATCATAATATTGTGTTGCTGAAGGGCGCCTTCACAGACTTCATGGGTACTTGCATTCCACCAAGCCTGAGACGAGAGTTATCATCTGCTTCAAACATTACTACAACCAGTTGCGTAGCTGATGATGAAACGCATCAACCAGTTTTTTAATCAATGATGATATGCAGTGGGTAATGCCATTATAGATGCTTGTGCTTTCACTTAATGAAATGCTCTCACTTTGTTTTCGCCTAGGTATTATGGATTCAGAAGCAACTATATGAACTCTCTTTTTGTTGTGTATGTTATGTTTCATGTTGGTTAAACATTTCGTCTTATGTAGTTATGTTAGTTTGATTACACCATAAATGGAGACGACACATGATAAATTATTCTATAATGTTTTTCTATATTTTTAGATTACTTTTTGTCTCATTTCTATTCATTTTGTTGATTGAAAGTTCTACTGAGTGTCTAAAACAATCATAATGGTTGCTTTTGTCATGAAGATCGAAGGCAGCGGCGAACGCAGATATTTTGAGTTAGATGGCACAATCAAATTTGCAAGAAATTTGTAAAAAAATTAAAGCATTAGATATCTTGTTTTAATTATTCTTTACGAGTTCTCATACTTTGATAACGTTTCATAATTATATCATTTTCTTATTTTAATTATTCTTTATGAGTTCTCATACTTTGATAACGTTTCATAATTACATCATTTTCTATACTATCAAATACATCATTCTCAATATATGTTATCAAACTATAATTCAACAATTGATCTCTGATTCGATTCCAAACGATCTTTTACATAAGTCATCGCAGAAAAGGGTCTCTTGACTACAGTAGTAGCCACAAGAAGAACTAAAGCTAATGTCACAAGTTTGTAGACTAATGGATACACTTCAAGTTTATTTTTCATAACCAACTTCCATAAAAGATTATTAAGGCCTTATAATCTTCCAAAATCTACGTAAGTGCGCATGTCAAGAATATGAGCGTGTTCGATAGAGATTAAAATCATATTAAAATTGAAAAACTAGCCGTTATTGTTGACTTTTATTAGACGAGTGAGATCCAATAACGACTATATTTTCAATTTTAATTTGATTTTAAGTACGACCGAACACGCCCTATATGCATCTAGTTGATCATTAATTTCTAAGATATATGATGTCTCAAAATCTATTGGATATATGTCTCAAAATCTATTGGATAATACCTACATAATCGAATCACTTTATTCTTGTCAAAACCAACAAATGAATTATTTAGACATAAACATGCGACACAAATGAGTAAGTCACTATTACCTCAGAAAAATGGTCATTTGGCCCTTGAAGTTGTATATCAATGATGGAAAAAAACATTTTCCACATGAAAATGTTGTGCTTTGTCACCGTGTCACGCCGTGAATGATCTAGAGTTATGAATATATCATCAATATTAGGAACATTGATCTCGTGAGCTTCACAGAACAAACATACCATTCCAAAAGGAGAATTTCATCCATCATCCCTCGTGGTCTGGAATTGTGCTTTACATAATTGTACAAATATTATGGCATTGGCAATATCTTGATCTTTCTTTACAATACTTTCGAAAATTCATTTGAAATTTTCAAGATTTTTTTTCATGAGATGTAGATTTAATGTAAATTCAAATTTTAACGTGGACTGCAATAAAATACATGCATCTCCTCGCGGATGTTTCCAATTATGTGCTTTTGATGGTTTAGTGAACGGCAGAACATGGACATGTGAAGTCGGAATTGGTGAAGGGCAAGTTTGAATTAGGCTTTGGTGTGACGGATTGGACTTTTTCAATTTGGGCAGTTTATGTTAAACATTTGATTTGGGGCTTTTATTATTTAAAAAAAAATTGGAAAATTGGTGGGTCATCTCCATCCACCCTTGTTCGACTTAACCGAAAACACATTTAGAAGAAAAATAATATAGAGAAAATGAAATGTTCAAGGCAAGAGTTCAGCTCATTTTCCTTCAGACGATAATATCTGAATGTTCTACAATACTCAACTCTCAATATTACAATGATTCCAACTTGTAATAGTAGCATTCAAAACTACAAGAACAACAAACATACTAATGTTTTGATCTTTCTAACGACAAAGAGGGACCTAAAATATGCAAAATATAATATTTAAGATTGAAATGGAGAAGATGAAATAGTGCAGAGACGTAGGAAAATATTATATTATAGGACAATATTTGGAACGAATGAAATTCATGAATTATTGGTATAGAGTTTGAAAAGTTGTGTGCCAAATGACACAACTGTTGAAAAGTCGTGTGTCCAAAGACATAATGTTGGAAAGTTGTGTATTGAATAGACACAACCCATTTAGACAACAACTGTTCAAATACACGTTTTTACTGTTAAATTAAATTTGGTAGGTATAAATAATATAATTGAACATTTATTTAATTTAATAAAATAAACAATATAATTAGGTACGTTATTTTATTTTTTAAAAATGTATACCATCTCTTGGCTCAATTGGCAATGCATGTGTGGGTTTTGGGCTACAACACTACATGTGGGTCAACTTCATTGCAAAGTCTATTGATAGAGGAAATTATAGACTCACGGGTTTTTAAGATGTCATTTTTATAAATCCAAAATCAGCTTTAATAATACATAAATCAGGTTTTAATAAATGGTTTATAAATTACTTTTTATTTAAATCAATCCCATACAATTTCAAACTCTAATTAATTCATTTTCCCTCCCATCTCTCTCTATCCCCGCCGCCACCTCGTCGGCACCTAAGCTGACGATTGACAGTTGCGGCACCGTGCGGGACAGCCCCTATTGCACCACCAACAGCCCCCATCTCTATCACACCACAAACACAACCTCCACCAAAAAAATTCCCAAATTTGCAGTCACACTATCAACAATCACCACCACCACCACCACCACCACCACCAACAATTAACACAAGAAAATAGGTGAGATAGAACGCCTGCCCCGTAGTCGCACCTCAACACACAGATTTGAAAGTGCATCATCTCGAACAGAGGAAGTGACAGTAGTTTTATGTGCGAAAAGAGAGAGACAGCAGCGCGGCAGCTCATTCTCTTATATTCTTAATGTCAATCCCCACCACTGCTCCACCGTTCTTTAAGCGATGGTGGTTCTATGTGAAGAAAGAATGGAGATGATATGAGGGAGAAAATGATTTTAGGGTTTGAATGGTGCAGATAGGGTTGCAGTGCGATGGGGTGGGGGTGGTGGTTGCGGGTTTGTCTGCCCGCGGTGATGTGTGAATGGGTGTGAGTACGCGTGGTGCTGTGGGGTCCGGTCGCGGTGCCGTGGGTGAATGAACTGCTAATGAGTGTGTGCGCCTGCATGAGGAAGTTGTTGCCGCGGGTGTGTGCATAAGTCTGTGCGGCGATTACGGTCAGGTGTGTGCAGTGTCGTGATGATGGACGTGGGTGTCTGTGACCAATTATTTGGTTGATTGTGGCCAATAATTGGTTAATTTTTGACAAATTAACAATGTGTGACCTAAAAATTGTGACTATGACTCACAATTTATTAAGTTATAATCGAGTTGTAACCAATAAAAGTAATCCGTAACCTATAATTTGATATTTTGTGACCATAAAAAAAGTTGTGTGACTTATAAATTTTGTGATTTGTGACCAATGAACAAATTGTGACTTTTAAATTTTTAATTTGTGACCGATGAACGAACTGTAACCTATAAATGTTTTGATTTGTGACCTTGAAATTTTTGAATTGTGACCAAATTGCATAAATC